TCCATCCATCCATCCATCCATCCATCCATCCATCTCCTCCTGCTGTTCCTGGCTCTGTGGCTCCCCGTGATCCTCCCAGAGCCCAGGGCTGTGCTGGGAAGGGCAGCACGGGCAGTGTCCCTGGGGTGGGAGCTCTGCTGGAACAGCTCTTCCTGCCTCGCTTTTCCAGAGGGCAGAAGGAGCTGTGGAGGGCAGAGATGGTCCTGAGTGGAGGGCAGGGGCTGTCACTGCTCCGTGTGCCCTGACACAGCCCTGGCTCTGCCAACTCTGTCCCTGCTGCCTCAGGGGAGCGTTTTAATGGCCTTAAAAATGAGTGTGGTCCTCCCTGTGTGCTCCTTGTGTGCCCTTCCTGTTCCCGGCTGCCCTGTGCTCGGGCTGGGGCTGCCACGGGTGTGCTCAGAGCTCTGACTGCCTCAGCCTCATCAAATCCCAGGTTCAGAGCTCTGAGATGGATTCAGCAGCTGGCTTTGTGCCAGCAGCCCCTGCCACAGGAGCTTCCTGCAGGGGCTGGAGGTGATGTGGTGATGGAGTGGGTCCGGATGCAATTCCTGACCCTGGGAGCCTCYGTCCCTCTGCTTCCTGCCTGCACTTATGGGAGGCTGAAAGTGCCTCTTGCCGTGCTGTGGTGGCACTTTTGGGACACTGTAATTTCACAGAGCTTTTGGGTTTTCTGTCCTGCTGTGTGGCCAGATGGCCGTGGGCCTGTGGGTGATTTATCTTGGTCTGCCATGSAGGGGGAGGAAGCCGAGCAGAGGGGCTGAGTGCTGTCACTGAGCCGTGAGAGCCACGGGAATTTGGATGCTCTAGTTTGCTAACCAGAAGGACTTGCCCTGCTCTGTGGAAGCAAATCCTCCAGGCCATTTGTGCTTTTTGAATAGAACAGCACAGAATTCCTCCTTTCCTTTCCCTCCCCACCATTTCCCTCTCTGTCTTCCACATCCACTTGGCTCCCCCTTCATTCAGGACCCCATCAAAAGTTGTCCTTATTTTCACAGGCCCTTTACAGACCTTGAGCCTCTTGGCTGCTCTGTCTGTTGTGCCCATGTCTGGGTGGCCTGGCCCTCCCCAACAATCACAGTCCTGGAATCACAGAATATTTTRGTTGGAAGGACTCTAAAGATCATCCCTTCCCCTCCATGCCAAGGGCAGGGACACCTTCCCCTGTCCCAGGCTGCTCCCAGCCCCAATGTCCAACCTGGCCTTCGACCCTTCCAAGGATCCAGGGGCAGCCACAGCTTCTCTGGGCACCTGAGCCAGGGCCCCCCACCCTCATTRTAAAAACCATCTTCCATTTATCTAACCTAAATTCCCCCTCAATCTTCCTTTCCCAATCTTGGCAGCTCACTGATAGTTAGAGCCTTGAAAACTCATTTCTGGTGAGACTTGAAAGCTCATTCCTCGGTCTCTGCTTCATGGTTTCCCCCTCCTCTTATTTCCAAAATATCTTTGAAAGAATTCCAGCCAGAGATGGTTGCATGGCCCAGAACTGTGTGGGGGGAGGCAGAGGAGCTGCTTYGACCTTGCAGTGCCCTGGCACAGCTGGAGCCAGGCTGGCAGAGCTGATTCAGCCCTCCTGCCCCCTCGCCGATGCTCTGATATGTCACATCAGCGTAAAGGAAAGGAATTAATGGATTAAATAGGAATAATCTGCCAGGCAGAAATAGAACGGGATGAGACCAATTCAGGAGCACTTGGAACGTGATGCTGCTGGAAGGTCAGAGCAGTGTGGGGCTGTGTGGGCAGCAGCTGCTGTACAGGTGCTGTGGGTCAGTTCTGCTGATGTGAACTGTTCCTGGGGTGGATTTCAGCCTGGACAGKGCATTCCTTGGGCATTGCAATGCTGCTGCAGGAGGAAGAGCCTGTGACCCATGTGCTGGTGTAGGGCTGAGCCTCACAGCCYTCCCCAGGAAGGAGAGAGAGCCCCAGGGGAGGTTCATTCACCTGGTTCAGGTTGGAAGTCAGGGAAGATTTCTTGGCTGAAAGGGCTGTCCAGCCCTGGCACAAAGTCCCTGTCCCTGTTTTACCTGTGGGTGTGGCTCCTGGGGACACGGGGACATGGCTCATGGTGGCCTTGGCAGTGCTGGGGAATGGGAGGGTTTGATGACCCAGATGGTTCCACGGATCTGTGATCTGGACAGCAGTGGATCCAGATCTGCCTTTGATCTGGACCATTGCTGAACCAAATCATTTGGTAAATGACTGAGATAAAGAGCAGATGCTCTGAGAGAGGCGAAAYCAAGCTTTTACAATGCTCATTAAAAGTTAAATTTAAGGATGAATAAAGGCACTTTGGATATTTAATCAGATATTAGTTCTGGATGTAACTACTGCAAATAAATCCCTGACCTCTGCTGATCCAGAGTCTGACAATGAGGGCAAGGGTTTATTCATCTGCTTAGGAGGATTATTCCAGCTCTGTTCCATCCAGAGGCACTGCTGGGTTTCCTGCTGTTGCTGTAGGGGATCCCAGCYCTGCCTGGCCTGGGGTGCTGGGCTCTGCAGGGTTATGGAATCGTGGAATTATGGAATCATGGATGGGTTGGGCTTGAAAGGACCTTAAAGCCCATCCAGTTCCATTTTTTGTTGTGGGCAGGGACACYTTCCCCTGTCCCAGGGTTCTCCATGCCCRGTCCAGCCTGGCCCTGGGGGTCCAAACACCCAAAGAACTGCAGCTCTGTGGAGGGGGCTGGCACTGGCAGTGCATGGCACAGCCTGGAGCAGTGACCCAAAGTGACAGCAGCACAAGGGATCCCACAGCTCGGGCTCAGGGATGACCAGACCTGCTGAGCTGGGTTTGCTGGAGCCACAGAGCTGCACAGCCCAGCTTTGTGTTCTCAAAATGGGAATGGGCAGGGCTGGGAATGGCAGCTGTGCCCTGCTGAGGGATGGCACATTTTGCACCCCTGTGGGTGCCCARAAGGGCCCTGCACTGTGGGGATTGTGCTCACATGGTCCCAGGGCATCCTGCAGCTCGTGTGCTGGTGTTGGCACAGCAGCCTGCCTGCCTGCCCAGACAAACAGAGCTGAGTGCTTTCCCTGCAGTGTTTGGGTCCGTGTGCCATTCACGGGACAAAGCCCAGCCCAGGCAGAGCTCAAAGCAGGGATTAGGCAGGGGCTGCCCTGTGTGCCCGTGAGCTGGCAGCTGCCCCAGAGCAGCGCTGGGAGCTGGGCAATGAGGGACAGAGCTGCGTGTGCCAGCCCTGGGCTCTGCTCCCTTCCTGCCTTGCCCTCCCTGAACCACTGTGGCTCTCAATGATGGCATTTCCTGGGGTCTGCAGCCCTGGGGGACCTTCCCCACCCTGCCCCGTGGAAGGTTTTCCAATTGTTTATTTTCCATAACAAATAGCTGTCTGTGGGCAGTGTTTTGCAGTGGTGGAAAGCTGTCTGTGGGATGCATTTTCCAGCAGGTGTTTGGATCCCTGTGTTGGTAATTCCTTGAAATTCAAGTGAAAACCTGCTTTGGCACGGGTGAATTGAGCTGTACATCCCATTGACTCTCATGTTTTAGCTCTCACTCTCGGGCAGAGGCAGCTGCCTTTGGGATATCYTAATTTGTACCAAAAAAAAAGTTTCATTTGTACTCATAAAATACATGGACATCTGTGCTGGGTGAGGCTGAGTTTGGGGCTCACCAGATGTGTTGTTCAGGTGGTTTTTGCTGTGCTGGGTGCAGGCAGGGCAGGGGGCTGGGGCCAACCCTGGCAGTCTCCCCAGGGACAGGTCCCCTCCCCGGGGTACAGGAGGTGCTTTGGACAGATTTGACCCAAAATTCATTCCCATCTTCCTGTCCCTGTTGCTYTTCCGCTGCCAGATGCTGTCAGGTCTTTCCTCTTCAGGTGATKTTTAYAACTYCATGCTTTCATGGAATCACRGAACAGTTTGGTTTGGGTTCTCCAGCCCATGGATGGCTTGGGTAGATGGGTGCAGGATTTATAGGATTTYCCTGGGACTCCTCAAGCAAGACACCTCATGTGCCATTTTCTAGGATTTATTGTGTCAAAATGTACAATCTCATTTTTTTCCAAGCAATCCATTGTCAACTTTCCAGACAAGTTTGGGTTATCTCCCCTTGATCCCAGGCTGGGTTTTGGTGGATGAGACAGAGCCCAGGGCAGGT